AGTGGTGGGAGCTAGCATCCTTTCTCTCTGCAGTGAGGGTCTCTATTGTCCCTGTCTGTCCTCTAACAATCCTGTCAGCGGCCCCAGCCACACAATGCCTCAGCACTTCCCCACTGACATTCAATTTTGCTAGCAAATGATTAGTGTTCTTGAAGATCTGAGTATTTTTATGATGAATATTTTGTTTTTTAAATTACCCTGCATTTTATGTGGCATTCACTGTATGCTACCACTTCTTTCCCTCCCTCTCCCCTTTCCTCTAAAGAATCTTTTCTTCACATTACAGGAAATCCAACAGAGATCTAAAAAGAAGCTAATTGAGCTTAAATCCATATCGACTAATATCTGCTAATGTTAGTTAATAAAAAAACCTTCTCCCAGAATATTATGAACCCCTTCCCTTCCCCCACACAGTTTGCCAAGAATTAAAAGAAAAAGAATAACGAGCGATAACAATGACAACTATAAGAGTGGGCTGATGCTCTGAAGGGCAGCTAAGTCTCACACCAAGAAAGTCTCATGAGCTCAATGTACAAACACTAAGAAAAAGGCGCTTTTTTCTCTGCTGCTTTCAGAAGCTGTTCAATTGTTTCCCTTCCCTTATAAGCACCTGGTTATAAAAAGAAAATGTGTACTTGTCGCTACCAAGCCCAATCTAACTTGTTCTGTTTCCAAAGTGAACTTATGTTGAAGATGAAGTTTTCTATCTTGAGGTCACGCCTATGTGCCACATCCTATGATCTGGAGCTTCGTGCTGTATTAGACACATTCAAATCTGGCCTTTTAGACTTCTTTCCGGACCCTGCTCTCCAACCTTCACCAGCCCCAGCTCCAGACTGCCTCCCGTTCCTCCAATTTGTAGGAAAAATGAGAATTCTTTCTAACCTATACTCATATAAGAAATATACAAGCGGTCTAATCCCTGTGGCTGGGGCACTTTCAGAAAGAGCCTGGAACAAGCTGCCCAGCTGCAATCATGCTCTCTCTTTTCTACAGGCGTGCAACCTGAATCACACTAATATGCCTAATTTCTTTTGTGAGTCCCTTTCTTGCTTGGACAGGGAGGAGAGAGTGTCCTGGGAAGACTCTCAGGAGTTGTTATATATCCTTAAATCTTATGAGGCAGGAGAGCCACTATGAACCCCTAGGTTGCAAATAATTTAATAAACATACAAGTAAATCAAGCCAATCTGACTTGTTTTTTGAAATTAACTGAATCGCCCTCTTAGAAACCAAGCAATGTGATGGGTGGTGTGAGGTGGCAAATTGGGGTATGAAGGCAACCCAAGGAGGAATGGAGTTGGTGTCTGGTACTAGCCTGGCAAGGGAATGGAAACCTGTGTTGCCTTGCTGGGGATGGGTGTGTGGATTTGCTAAAATTACATTTCCTCCACTTGTAAATCAGGCTCCTCTCCAGGGGACCATTTAGCTGTCCCAACCTGGTAGGGCTGGGGTAGCTATTATTATATTAAAACCATAGCTCTAGAGGGGGTGGGGTAAATCAGATCTGAGGACCCAGCAGTGGACTTCAAGATCAAGGTGAGGAGAACACCAGCTGTGTATATAGTCCAGCTATGCAAGAGATCAGTTTATCAGTGGTAATGTTGAGTTTAAGGCAAAATTCAGTCCATGAAAAAATAAGTTACCAACTATTTGCAACAGTAGCTTCACATGGACTTAATTTTCTCCCATGTCCAGATGGGGTCGGCTATTGAATGAGGCTCTTTTATTTTGTATGGGGCAGGGGATTTGTGACCATGGTCCCCCCTTTTATTCCTCTCTCTATGGAAACCCAGATCATGGGGAGAAATATGCGAAGCTGAATAAAGAGAAGCCGCAGAAAGGAGCGCTTGAGAGCGGCATCTGTTACACTTGGGAAGTTAGACTGACAGGAGAGGGCCAAGGAAACCTCTCCAGTAGATCAGTTAGAACAGCAAGAAGATTTGACTATATTCAGATAATTTACTCAAAAACAAAGCACTCTACTTGCAAGAGAAGATTCTTATCACAGTTGCTCCAGGATATGCTTGCACCTGAATTTAATAGGTGGACTCTATATTCATGGGAAGTAATTTTTAAAACAAATAGAAAGAGGAGAGAGAGATAAGAATGAGAGGGAGGGAAGAGGGAAGAGGGATGAAAAGGAAAGGAAAGGAAAGGAAAGGAAAGGAAAGGAAAGGAAAGGAAAGGAAAGGAAAGGAAAGGAAAGGAAAGGAAAGGAAAGGAAAGGAAAGGAAAGGAAAGACTGCAGTTGGGTTTTGCTCCTGACAGAAGGTATTTTTACATTAAAAGACTGCAAAACAAGGGTTTAAAAAACTTGTCCCTGGGCACAGATGCCTCCTACTCTATAATCCCCCGCCTGCCCCACACAAGCCTGGGAACAAATTGTCTGAACCTTTTTGTGTGTCTGGCCAAACCAGTTGCCCAGAGCAGAGGCCAAGGGCAAGAGGAAGGTTGATTGTAAGAACTCTGGCAAATCAGACTGGGAAAAGGACCCCCTTCTTTTTCATGCAAAAGCCTTATCAATTGATAATTGCCTTAACGCCCTGAATGGTCAGACTAAGATTAGCAACTCTTTCACCCAAACGCAGCTGCAAGGTGGGGGTGGGGAACCCACCGCAGCAGCCAACAACAACGTGGCAATGATCATGATCTTTTCCTAGTATGGTTTCTTCACTGTGCTTCCTTCTGACCTCTAAAGTGACCTGACACAGACTGGCAAATGGATCCTTGAACAGACAGCCTAACAGAGCACCTGAAAACTTGTATTGTGTTTGATTTTAACAAGTTCTTTTTTTTTCCTTCAGGAAGCAAGAGTTCAAGCACAAATGAGGCTGCGTTCTTGCAAAGGAAGATACACACAGTTGGCAGTAATGAAACGACCTTCCTCGGCAGAAAAAGAGAGAGAGAGAGAGAGAGAGAGAGAGAGAGAGAGAGAGAGAGAGAAAATGAATTTAATTCTAGGTTAAAAGCAGATAAACCTTTACAATAGGACACCAGAAAATGAAAGCACAATTTTAGTGAGCATGAGGAGGGGGGAAGATGGCAAATGATTAATCCTATCTGCCAATAATTACTGTGTTTATCCTTTTTAAAAGAAAGAGTAAAAGAAACAAATACATCTCAAGCAGATGCCAGGTTTTCCTGCCTAATAGACACAATTTACATTCAACAACACAAACTCCTATTGCTCTGTGCTATCATAAGTAATTACTTATTTCACAGGAAATAGATGCTCTTTAGCTATATAAAGGAATGGCAGAATAAGCTCACCTTGTTTTTATTTTTCTCATTTTCTTGCATTTTCTTCAGATCTGTCTTCTTAGGGAAACTAATGCCTTAATGACTTTCCGGTAGCTGCAAGCCTTCTTTTATTTCTGCTAAATATATGAAAATGTATGCAAATTTAAATCAAGTTTAACCTAGGAGCTCTTGCAATATATTTAATGGAATTTCAAACCAATAAGGGAACTCTAATGCTGTCTTCTGTAAATGCAAATATAATTATGCAGCTAGATTACCTCTAAAATTATGCAATGAAAGGTCATTTTTTAACTTCAGAGATCGAGTCAGGTATCCAGTGTTTCTTTATCCTAGCTAAAGCAAATCTTTGTATTTCACCCCACTCTGCTTACAAGCAAAACCTTTGCATGGGTCTCTGGAGCACCCGGACTTATCCTTCCCTAACTTCTAAAAGCTTAGGAGGAGTACAAGTCTTTCTCCCTTTCCTTTAACCAAAATTTAAAACAGTCTTGTTCTCTCAAGCTGAACAAATTCACGCTTGATGGGGATGATGGGGGTAGTGGTACTTAATGCCAATCTCTTTCCCTCTCCCTCTCCCTCTCCCTCCCTCTCCCTCTCCCGATCCCCGTCCCTCTTCCTTTCCCTCTCCCTCTCCCCCTCCCTCTTCATCTCCAGTGTTCACTAAACTACTCCTATTTACTTCAGCAGATCTGCAATGGTAGTGGGGGAGAATAAATACATTAAAAAATGTTTTTCCCTAAAGGGCAGCATTGGGCGGGGCAGCGGAAAGTTCTCCTGTGTACCTATTGGGAGTTGGTCTGCTGAGAGTCTGGGGTGAGTGTAAGGAAGGGCTGCTAGCGTCTACAAGCATTGCCTCTGACAGAAATTGGGGACTGCTGATGGGAGCTGACATAGAGCCATAATAAAAACCAAGTCTTCCAATTGACCAACTGGATTGGAAGGCAAACTCAAAATAACTGAATTTTGCCAGTATCACAATGGATTTTAATTTCCAGAATATTCCAGTTCTTCATACCTTAAATCATTTTTTTCCAGAAGAAACTAAGCATCTCTTTCTTAGATGCTTTCTGACCTTAGTATTGAGTTTTTTATTAATATAAAATTAAATAAATAAGTCAAAATAAGTCTTATTGGAACCAATGACTTCAGTCTAGATTCCAGTTCCTATCAAAGACGTCCCCTTGCTCAAAGTTTGTAGCCAGATTCTGTTTTTCAGTCCTCTACACACAACTAACCCAGAAAGTGAAATGAATCTGAGTAAAATCCATATCCACTAAGATATAGATGACATTCAAGCTAGTGATGTTGGTTTCTTAATATTTTTTTCGTTCTCTCTTTGGGTTCACCTAAATCATGTACAAAGCTGGTTTGCAGCCTCAGCACCTATCAGTCTAAAAGCACTACACACAAACACACACATCCGTCTCATTTTTCCCGCTCCACTACAAATACGGGCGAAGTAGATGCTGGAGGTGGTGGTGGTGGTGGGTTAACCAAGTAATCTGTTGCCGCCACTCAGGGCGATGCAGCCGGCCGATCAGAAAGATTTTATTCACTTCCTGCTTGGGTCTCACTGCAACTCACAGAGCTTCGCCAGTCTAATTTGGAAAGCTAGCCCAGCCTCCCGCACCGCCATTGGCCGAACGCACGGCTGGCCAGACCGAGACGCGCTGCGATTGGCCGCGGTAGGTGTCCGTAACTCTCTGGCTGCTTTGGCTCCCCCGCAGGATAGATGTCAAAGGCTGAAGCTGCTCCCTTTGCCACATTATAACTAGTAGGGGATCCTCACCGACCATGGCCACAGCTGCCTCGAATCCCTACAGCATTCTCAGTTCCAGCTCTCTGGTCCATGCGGACTCTGCGGGCATGCAGCAGGGGAGTCCTTTCCGAAATCCTCAGAAACTTCTCCAAAGTGATTACTTGCAGGGAGTTCCTAGCAATGGGCATCCCCTCGGGCACCATTGGGTGACCAGTCTGAGCGATGGAGGCCCGTGGTCCTCCACACTGGCCACCAGCCCTCTGGACCAGCAGGACGTGAAACCCGGGCGTGAAGACCTACAGCTGGGCGCGATCATCCATCACCGCTCGCCTCACGTCGCCCACCACTCTCCGCACACTAACCACCCCAATGCCTGGGGGTCGACCCCGGCTTCCAACCCGTCCATCACGTCCAGCAGCCAACCCCTTAACGTGTACTCGCAGCCGGGCTTCACCGTGAGCGGCATGCTGGAGCACGGGGGGCTCACCCCACCGCCGGCGTCTGCCACCGCACAGAGCCTACACCCAGTGCTCCGGGAGCCCCCAGACCATAGCGATCTAGGCTCTCACCACTGCCAGGACCACTCGGATGAGGAGACACCAACCTCGGATGAGTTGGAACAGTTCGCCAAACAGTTCAAACAAAGAAGAATCAAGTTGGGTTTCACGCAGGCCGACGTGGGGCTGGCACTGGGCACACTGTACGGCAACGTGTTCTCACAAACCACCATCTGCAGGTTTGAGGCCTTGCAACTGAGCTTCAAGAACATGTGCAAGCTGAAGCCACTGCTGAACAAGTGGCTGGAGGAGGCTGATTCGTCCACTGGGAGCCCGACCAGCATTGACAAGATCGCAGCGCAGGGCCGCAAGCGCAAGAAGCGAACCTCCATTGAGGTGAGTGTCAAAGGTGTACTGGAGACGCATTTCCTCAAGTGTCCCAAGCCTGCCGCACAGGAGATTTCCTCGCTGGCAGACAGCCTCCAGTTGGAGAAAGAAGTGGTGCGTGTCTGGTTCTGTAACAGAAGACAGAAAGAGAAAAGAATGACTCCACCAGGGGATCAGCAGCCACATGAGGTTTATTCGCATACCGTGAAAACAGACACGTCCTGCCATGATCTCTGACTGCAGGAAGCCGGCAACCGATCAGCCGCACGAACTGGGGCAGCGCGGATTTCTCTTTCTCTCCCACTCCCTTCCTTTCACTCCAGCTTCATAATTGCTATCTTTGTAGCTCTCTCTCTCTCTCTCTCTCTCTCTCTCTCTCTCTCTCTCTCTCTCATTTTTATATTTTATTTCTTTACCCCTCACTCTTTCAACCGGGGATTCTAACTTATATTAAGGAAGGAAATACACTCACGCATTTCAGGCTTCTTAACGCTGGTACACAGTTTCATTAAGCACTTCAGGCGGGGTCCTCATATCCCCTGCGGTCCGGCAACAGCTTTCTCTACAACCTTTTCTGCAGATCAATATATATTATTTACTTTGAGTAAGGTTTGTTTGGTTGCTCCTCTCTAGGAAGAGCAAGGAGTGGGGAAACTTGGGGGCGGGTTAGGGATTGGGGGAGGGAGGTGGGAAGACGGAAGATGTGTGCCTCTAAATAACCTTTCAGCGCCTTGGTTATAGCAGCTGTATTTCAGGTGAAATCTGTTTTACAATAGACTAGTTTTGCATTTAAAAAAAAAAACTTCTATAGCGTTTCTAAATGTCTGCGGTGTTTTACTACAAGCTGTACACAATATTTGTGAGATAATTTGTATCTAATCGACCACTCCACATTATTATTGCTATTATTATTATTCCTTCATTGAGCTGATGGTTTTTTAATTGCTTATAAAAGCGAGAGGAGGCTGGAAGGAGGAGGGGGAGAGATGTGCCTACCTTTCACTCATGCCCCCTATCCCAAATCTGTAAAGAGAGGAAAGGATACAATGGAAAAAGAGTTCTTGGTGGTGATATATACATATATGTTTGTTTTGTTTTGCTTTGTTTTGTTTTGTTTTGTTTTCCCCCCGTGGGCGGAGTGCCTAGAATGGGCAGAATAGGCAAGCTGATTGGGTTTGCAAACTAGTGGAAGTAGGAGAGGCTGTTTTGAAAGATTCTGCCCTCCCTGCCAGAACTGTTGAGCCCTTGCTGGTCTTTTACAGTGCAGATCTGGGTGCCAGAGAAGAATTCAGTGGCAGCGCTCGGGCGATAGAGGTAGTCATGGGGAGCTGAGAGGACTATGAACCTACGGAGGTCTGGAATGCCTGCACTCGGAGCTCCCCAAGGGCCCAGAGCCTATCCAGGCCGACTGACCGCCAGCGCTACCCCACCTTGGCTCTCCTAGGCGAAGGACTTTGCCTTCACAGGCTATTAATTTCGCTGGAGAAGACGACCCGGAGACTCTGGCGACAGTCAGTGCCTCCCAGTTCGGTTCACCTCCAGTCCAATGTCTGCTCCTTGAATAAAAAATCCTTGGGAAGGGATGGTGAGGGCGCTCTCTGCTTTGTGCAGAACGACAATGAAATGATTGGCAAAGGTCACAGGGATTTTGGTCTAGCCTCGTACCACATCCTTCAGATGTGTATATACCGTTGTTGCTGAGTGAGCTCACACCGGGAGCCATCTCATGCCTCGGACAAGCACAGCTGGTGGAATGTCCACTGCGAGGATTGAACTAGCTAGTGAGGGCCTGGGCGGCTGGGTTTCTGTTGTTTTTTTTTTATCTCTCTGTGTGTATGTGTCTGTGTGTGTGTGTGTGTGTGTGTGCGCGCGCGCGCGCGCGTGAGCGTGCAAACGTATGTGTGTAGATAGTTGTGTGTATATTATTACTATTTGCAAGAAACAAAAACCACAAAAAAATCTCGCTAGACTATGTAGAGATCCAAAAAGTATGCATTTGCTGTGGCTTTACTGCTAGCTCTCAAGTCCACATGCTCATAACCAAGGAGCATACATGTGCTGGCTCACCAAGCACGCAATCCACAGCCACTGCCCTCCTGAACTACCTGGGAGCTTGTATGACCTGGCTGGCCGCCTGGCTGGGCCTCCAGGGGCAGCTGCAGTAGACAAAGCTTCAAACTACCTAAGGACCAGATACCCTAGTGCCCCCTGTGGAAGATGCCCTAGTATGGGCTGCCAGGGCTCTGGTCCACTGCACTGTGTGTCCCCCAGCTGCAGGTCCAAGAGCATGAGTTAATTCAAATCCCAGACCCCTTTTATTTTTTGTGAAGCCTCTGCATTCTGTTGGTAATTGGGTTTTAGTTCTGGGACCTTTTCACACATTGAGATCATGTTTTACAACTGTTAGGGTTATTTGTTTATTTGTTTGTTTTGATTTTTTTTCTTTGCAGTTAAGCGCTATGGTTCAAACCTGAGTTAACCCAAATATTTCTGCTGACTTTATAATTGTACAGTTTTGTATATTAAACGTTTTTGAAGTTATTAATTTAAAAAAAGATCATTTAGTTTATTCATTTAGTAACTGATGTATAATAAATGCTATTTTCATTAAGAGTTGCTTTTTCAACTATTTTATTCAAATTGCCTATTGCAGTTGCCAGCAATTATTTATTTTCAATAAATTCTGCATTGTGTTAAAAATGAGACTCTTTCAAAGATGAGTTGGGTGTCAAAAAGAAAACAATTCACTGTAATGTTTGATGTGAACAGTTTTAGTCAAGGGGTTTATATTGACACAATATTTTATTGTTGTAAAATATTAAAAACATTTAAATAAAACTTTTTTTCAAAAAAAAATCTGTTTTTTCCCCTCCTGCCTTTATTGTGTGCTAGTGTGTGAACTGAAGCGTTTAAACAGAGGCACGTTCCTGGTGAATAGTGCATCGGCTTTGCTTCAGGTTAGAAATCATTAGTCAATGTTTTGATTCTTGATTCTCTCCTAACTTTTTGCCTTTCATATAGTTGCACACACAGCAGGGCCCCATTATCGTGCCCGTACCCACACCCATACTCAGGCAAAACACATTCCAAATGTTGGGAAACACGGTGGCTTAAGGAAGGCTAACAGAGCAGGGCATTTATTTCAAGAGGTGCTATCTTTTTAATGTTCTCCTAAAAGAGTGTCTACTTCTCTAGTCCAAAAGATAGACACTTTTCTGAAACTCTGCCTCCTGAAATTAGACCCAGACTTTCACTGTGGCATTCATCTCATCTAGTTGCAACCACCTTTCTTCTTTTTCTTTCCCATTCCTGCTCAGTGTCCTTCTGATAGGTGAGCCCCAATTCTCCTGAGAAGGGTTAGGAAGGTGATTATATGTAAGAAGTGCTCTTCTTTTCCTTGGACCCAGAAACTCTGGTAAATTGTCCACTTTGTGTTGCCCAATAAGGCTAAATTCATTCCTATTCATTCCTATCTGAGTTTGGGGAAAAGGAAAAATATTACAAAGAGACATTAGGAGGAAAAGCTCTATTCATCACTGTTCATCTTACTTCTACATACCATTCACTTCTGTTATTTTATCACAAGCCTATAATTTTCCAACAGTAAAATTCTCCTCAATTCATATTCTGAAGTGTTTTTTGTTAGATGGAGAAAAATTATTTACTCATTTTAATAGGTAATGCTTATCACATGTAATGTCTTGCATTTTTTAGAATGCCATCATTTATAGTTGCACAGTTCACTATACAGATGTGAGCATTATATATAAAATGTACGACGTGTTGTATGTATACTCATGGGCATATTTCTCTTTATAAATAATACTGATTTTATAGAGATGTATAAACAAGCACAAAATCCATAGTCCTAAATGTGTTGGTTCTTTTTCGGTTCATACCAACTAACCTCTTTCTCTTTCAATATCATATAGCTCTTTTTAAATTTTTTTCAATTACAGTTTACATTCAATATTATTTTGTATTCGTTTCAAGTGTATAGAATAGTGGTTAGACAATCATATGCTTTATAAAGTATTCCCCTTGATATTTCCAGTACCCAACTAACTTCATTTATAACTATTACAATAATATTGACTATATTTTCTTTGCTGTACTTTACATCCCCAAGACTATTTTGTAACTAATAATAAGTACTCCTCAATCACTTCACCTTTTTCACCCAGTTCCCCAATTTCCTCCCCTCTGACAACTATAAGTGTGTTGTCTGTATCTATAAGTTTGTCTTGAATTGATTATAAAGTTATAGCTGATCTTACAAAAGTATACAGAAACCAACTAGCAGTGTATTCTGAACTCTTTAATGGAACCACAAACAGATATTTTAGGAGATACTTGTATAACTATAAATAGGCATTTATCACTATCAGTATTTTTACTAGTTATTACTGAAACATATATTTTATACATATTTATGAGGCTTGTTTCCTTTACTGTCTCATTTCTTTTTCTTAAAATATAAACAAAGTCTAGTTGGCTTTTATGGTGACTGCCTTACCAACCTCATTATATCATTAGTATTATATTTCCATTAAAATTTAGGATATGTTGGTGCCTCTGCCTTGCACTTTCTTTGTATTGAGATTGCCACCACCCCAGTCACAACCAAGGCCTTTGTAGGAGAAGCAGCTTTAACCTCAGTTTCTCTCAGGTCCAGGTAACAGTGGCTCTCTCTCCCATAACAAGAATGTGTGGGTTCAAAAGAACAATAATTATTTACCTTATTTAATGGGGTAAAAGTAAAACAGCTTCACCTTTATTACCTAACAGAGCAACACAAAATGAATATATTGAGCGGTGGGGTGAGATGTGAAAAGAGTAAGCATTAAGGTGCTACAGATATGTAAACAAAGTCACATATGCAAATCAAGTATATATTTTTATGTAAACAGACATAAATTGATTATCTATATGGCTGTGACATTCTATATGCATAACAAAAGAGAAGTGAATTATTAAATTCTAGCATGTATCCTTCTAACCAGAAATGTTATGCCTGGAAGTTGGTTTCTTATCTTTAAAAAGAAAAGTTTAGGGGAAACCACTGCCTAAATTAGTACATGAACTGTGTTTGCCTTTAATAAAATAAAACACTATTTCTCTTGGAAGTATTTAGCATTTAGATATTTCCCTTGCACCCTAGTCAGGATGCTGTTGTTGCTTTAACTGTCCATAGGCTATAAGTAGCATTAACATAAATTTCTACTTTTATTTAAATTATATTTTTAGTAAGAAGGGAAGAGAAGAAAGGGGAATGGAGAAGTAGGAAATGATTAGAGGTTAAGACAGAGTTTTCCAAAGAAAAGATTGTATTTTTCCACCTGTCAGATCTTTATAAAGGCATGTATAGAACCTCAGAATTGAAAAATTACATC